CACTGTGTATTTAACTCAAATTTTGCTACTACAATAGGCTCCATTCTTAACTACAGGTTATCTGAAAACTGGGCATTCTTAACCTGAGGACTACCTGTACTTATAATTTAAATTTATGGTTAACAATGTCACAGAGAAAGCAAAACAAAACAAAACAAAAATTCTAAATATTCCTAAAGGTAAGCTTATACTGACAAAATCATCTTTATTGTCTTTCAAAATATTTTAGTGTAGACTGAACTGTTTTCTTTTTCTTTAAATCTTCATACATATGCTAGTAGATACAGAATGCTTTATCCACCTTTCAGCAAATTTGCACGCTTTGATCGAGGTTAGGGTCAGCATCCATAATGTTTTGCTTCATGACTTCTACAGCTCAAAAGATACCTTCAAATACCTTGAGAGTAAACTCCTTCACTTGTACATTATCTTACTCTTCGGCATGACTGTCAGCTTCTTCAAATACTCTGTGTTGATCAAAAGGTAGGAGATGGTCATCAGTCAATTCTTACGAGTGGGAATTGAGCAGTTCCTGAACATCGTCATTTTCTAGTTCATCAAATCAAAATTCTCTTCAAAATCACTACTATTTGCACAGTGAGGCAAAATGCGCTTCCATACTCTACACATGTTGTCTGCAGTTACTTGTTGCCAAGCATGGTGAATATTTTTTATTGCATGTCTGAAGTTATAATTTTTCCAGAACTCTGTTAAGGAAATTGCATTGTCTCCAGCAGTTTAGCAACTACCTATTCACATGTTTTTCTTATGTAGTAGGTCTTAAATGTTGTGATGGCCCCTTGTTTTGGTGGCCAAAAAGTGCTTTTTACATTTTCACACAATGAATTCAGTGTAGTTGGATGTCCTGGAGCATTATCTAAAATCAGTAGCACTTTAAATGTGATGTTACTTTCCTTGCAATATTTTTCAATAGCTGGGCAAAAATAGCTTGAAAACCAGTCATGAATACTGCTTGGGTCATCCATATTTTCTTATTTCACCGCCAAATAACTGGAAGTGATCTATGGTTGTAGCCTTTCAGAGCGTGAGGATTTGGAGACCGATAAACAATCATCAGTTTCAATTTAAAATCGCCTTGAGCATTGCCTCCCAATAAAAGTGTTAGGTGATCCTTAGATACTTTAAATCTAGGCTGAGATTTTTCTTTCTTGGAAATGTAAGTTCTGGAAGGCATCCTTTTCCAGAATAAACCGATTTCATCCATGTTAAATATTTCTGATCAGCGCATCAACCATCTTCAATTAAAAAAAAAAAAAATTAGGATATTTAGATGCTGCATCCTCATTTCCACTGGCCGCCTCATCAGTAATTTTAACATTATGCAGCTGATTTTTAAATTGATCAAAGCAACCAACACTTGCATTAAAAGTTTCATTTACTTCATTATTTTTTCCTTTCACTCTCTTAAGCAACCTTAAGAGTCTGAATGGCTGCTCTGCTAAGGGGAATCCATTTTTGACTGCAATCCTCAATCCATACAGTTAAAAGATGCTCTGTTTCTATCATTGTAACACTTCCATTCCTTGTACAGCAGTGCTTAAAAGGTTGTGAACCCTTTTGAATTTTCAATATTTCTGCATAAGTACGACCTAAAACATGATCTGTTCTCCACATGTCCTAAGACTGGATAAACAGAACCCAATTAAACAAATGAGTCAAAAACATTGTACATTGATTTACTGAGGAAAATGATCCTCAAAAGTATGTGAACCTCTAGGATTATCAGTTCATTTGAAAGGGAAATTAGAGTCAGGTGTTTCAATCAATGGGATGATAATCAGGTGTGAGTGTGTGAGGTCCTGCCTTATTTAAAGAACAGTGCATCACGGCTCAAAGAAAGGCAATTTCTGAGGACCTTTGAAAAACAGTTGTTAATGCTCACCAGGCTGGAAAAGGTTACAAAACTATTTCCAAAGAATTTAGATTCCACCAGTCCACTGTCAGACAGATTGTGTAGAAAGGGAGGCAATTCAATACCATTGTTACCCTCTCTGGAGTTGTTGGCCAGCCAAGATCACACCAAGAGCAGGGACTATAATATTCCAGGTGGTCTCAAAGAACCCCAGGGTAACATCTAAGGAACTAAAGGCATCTCTTACATTGGCAACTGTTAGTGTTCATGAGACCACCATCAGGAGAACACTGAACAACAAAGGTGTGCATGGCAGATTGTAAGGAGAACGCCACTATTCTCCAAAAAGAACATTGCTGCCTGGGTATAGTTTGTGAAAGACCACATGGAAAAGCCAGAAGGAAGAATGTTCTGTGGGCAGATGACCAAAATAGAACTTTCTGGCTTGAATGAAAAGTGTTATGTTTGGCAAAAGGCAAACACTGCATTTCAGAATAAGAACCTTATCCCATCTGTGAAACATGGTGTGGCAGTATCATGGCTTGGGCTTGCTTTGCTGCCTTTGGACTAGGACAGCTTACCATCATTGATGGAACTCTGAATTCTGAATTGTACCAGCAAATACTACAGGAAAATATCAGGGTACCTGTCCATGAACTGAAGCTCACGATAAAGTGGGTCATGCAACAAGACAATAATCCAAAACACACGTCATATGACCAAAGAATGGATAAAGCAGAAGAAAGTTAATGTTCTGGAATGGCCAAGTGAAAGCCCTGGCCTTAATCCTATAGAAATGTTGTGTAAGGACCCGAAGTGGGCAGTTCATTTGAGGAAGCCCACAAAAATCCCTGAAGCTGTTCTGTAAGGATGAATGGGCTAAAATTCCTCCAAGCCCATGTACAGGACTGATCAACAGTTATTGGAAACATTTAGTTCCAGTTATTGCTACCCATGGGGGGCACACCAGTTATTGAATATGCTTTTGCCACACACAATTATGTAGCTTTGGACCACTGTCCTCATTAAATCAGTGAACAAGTATAATGTGTTTGACTCATTTGTTTAATTGGGTTCTGTTTATCTAGTTTTAGGGCTGTGTGGAGAACAGATCATGTTTTGGGTCATATTTATGCAGAAATATTGAAAATTCAAAAGGGTTCACAAACTTTTAAGCATTGCTGTAGATGTTTGCAAACTACAAAAAGTTGGTGCAACTTTACCTTTTTCTTTTATTTTCCCTGCCTGCTTTATAATATTGCATACTGTACATTCAGGCACTCCAACATCTTGTCCTATTTTAGCGTTGCTATGACCACGTTCATGTTGCTCAATTACATCAGATTTTTGCTCTAATGTAATAATGATCCTCTTCTTTTTTGAGCTTGTAGTGTTTTCCTCTGAAGGAATCTTCTTTGCACACACAAAGATTAGCAGCATCTAAAACTCCAATGGCAACTGCGCACACGCTAGCCTCACATTAACTGAATTTTGGTTTGCATTAAATGTGACCTGGTATCAATTTACAATTTATACAAAATTGAATATTACATTATTCGAACTTGCATTAAGCTGTACACCATTCCTCCTTCGCTCCCAGTTGCTGTTTTTTTTATATTTCTGATTTCTCCAATTTAAAAAACAATGGCATATTATAACTAAAAAAAAAAAAAAAAGCTCTTCCATTTCAGTCACCTCATTTCTGGAATCTTTATTGTTAATTTCAAATATTGGTCAATGATCTGATTTATATGGATATAATATTTGGCTAGAAAAACCTTACTCTTAATGACTAGTTTGATTCAATCATTCTTAACAGATGAAGTTGAAAAGACCAATTTGGGCAGATGTTACCTCAGACAAAATGACATAGAAAATTAGATAATGAATTTACTTTGAGGAAGAGTTGTTTTAAGTGGATAAATCAATGATGTTTCACTGGAGGCAGGTACAGTAAGACCTTCTTCTGGGAAAGATTCCATCAGTGTCTTGTCCTTCTTTTCACTGGAATCTGACTCTTTTTAATTCAAGGGACAAAAATATTTGCATTAGAAAATTCTATAAGCATTCCCCAAAACAAAAATGGATTCTAAGTATTACAGCAGTATTAGTGTAAAATGTAGGATTCTTTCTAAAGAATAATGTCTGATAAATAAAGCCTGATCTTTGGAATAGAATAGGATACTATCAATCAAATAGAAACCTATCTTGAGATGCATAGCAGATAAAAATTTAAATTTACTCTGAACTAAGAAGGTCGATATAAGTGCAGCCTAAAGCACATGCAATACATTCAGCTGTGTACATCTCAAAACTTCCCACAATTCTCACTGAAGTGATGATGGCACATAGAAGCAAAGGCATCTGGGTGGATCCAAAAAGTCAAGATGCCAGCTGCCACTGTGCAGTCAAAGCCCTGCCCCCTTTTTATGTGTGTTCTGTGTGCAACACAGCCATCTTGCCTTTTTGGACACTCCTTGCACAGAGGTATGCTTCCTTGGCTTGATTAGCCGCCCACCCCCACCCCCCATCCCCAATAATTTTATCGGAATAACACGTCAAAATTTAACTACTGAACATTATTAGAAATCTGTTCAGCAACAGTGTAAACTGAGTTTACCTGGACCTTGAGATTTTTCTAAGGGAAACTCGTCTTCCATAAGCATCTGTGCCTTGCTTTCATCAGCTGCTGGAGTATTCTGAACTTTAGCTTTAACAACAGATGAAATTGTAATTCACTTAAGCACCATATTGGAAAGCTACTGAGATCTATCTATCTATCTATCTATCTATCTATCTATCTATCTATCTATCTATCTATTTGGGTGCCTTCGAGTCAGGGTTGACTCCTGGCAAGTGGTTTGCTATTGCCTCCTTCCTAAAGCTGAGGGAGAGTGACTGGCCCAAGGTCACCCAGCTGGCTTCATGTTGAAGGTGGGACTAGAATTCAGGGTCTCCCAGTTTCTAGTCTACACCAAACTGGCTGTCTCATTTTGTTCTAGCATAGCATTTGAAAGAAATATACATTTTGTTAATCCCCTCATCAGTAAAGAGAGGATAATGTTCAATTTTATTTCTTATGAGATATCATAACAAATATTTTGTATTGGCAAGCAAACAACCAAACTCAGAGAACACCAAGGACTCCACAGGAAATCCATGATCTGCAATTAGGATCACTGGGAGGGGAGAGGTTTGGTGGCTTGAGACCCTCAGAACAATTACCCTATTCTGGACTGTGTAGACCATCCCAATGGCCTTAACGTCAGGCTCAAGAGAGCACCTGCCCCATTCTGGAATGAGATTCATAGGCATCTATGCTTTTCCCATGTTAGATAATTCCCCTTCCCAACATAGATGCCTAATAATGTTTATTTTGCTTTTCATCAGAATGATATAAAGTGTTCTGAATAGCTAGTCAATCACAAGGGCATGAATTGCATTAAATTTCATAGACATTGGTGAAGTAGATCTTGAATCGCTCTTCTTTAAAACTGGGTTATTAAAGTGCCTGCAACACTTTGCTCTTTGTTGGAATGGGATAAAATATATGGAAAATGTATAAGTATATGAAGTACATTTAATAGAAATCAGTGCTGCTGTTTCCAGTTACACTATCTTTTGCTCTAAGAAACCTTTTACTCAGAGCACTTTCACATAAGTCCTAAAGCTCTCAATATATTTTTATGAGTGTTATTAATTTATGTATTATTTTAATCAATTTATATGACTACCGATCTTGCAATAGTGACCCTGAGTTTCTAACATAGGATTAAAAACTCACAATAAAAAATAAACAACAATATAAACAAATATAATGGCAACGTAGTTTGACTGACACCTGCTCCCAACCTACCCATCCTGAATCTCAAATATCTGTCTAATTTATATTTATACTCTATACAGATACATATACCTAATAGGAGGGCAAAGTAGGATGGTGGAAAATACTGCTTATAAGGGCAAAGAAGACAGAACAAAATAATATATAGCTATTAAATCTAGTTACTGAACAATCTGAACTGCAGAAAGGATACATTAATTAGAAAGGAGACCTAAATGAAAACTAAATGAATACAACTGAAAGATTAGAAAGTATTTACTGTTATAGAAAGGAGAAAGAATGGTTGGGAAAGGAGAAAGTTGGATAAACAAACTAAATGTAGGAGAATGAAATGATATTGAAAATGATGAAAAAAAACCACATTTTGTTCACAAGAGACAGTGTTGTCAGTGTCACTACAAAAATCAGTCTGGATAATAATGGGGAGGGGGGGAACTTGAAGCAAAAGCAAGCAGTTCATCTCTTTTCTCTTCCCATGATCTCACCACCTATCTGAAAAGCTACAAGTGGGGTGACATGTGGTGGTCTGATTGCAAAGGTAACTCTGATTTGTTCCCTGATTTCTATACCCCCCCTTCTTCCACACCTCATCAAGGCATTTTACACAAACAAGCACTGTAGTTGCTGTGGTGATGCCTTGAGCCTTGCAGCATGGCAGAGCTCCTAAACTACGTATCAGAGGCAGACTTTGAAAAAAAAAATCTGAATTGAACAGAACGAGTAATAGACATGTGCCCTACCTCAAATGGGGAAAAAAAATCAATCCCAAGTTGAACCGATGGAGGCAGAGAACAGCTGTATTAAGAAAACAAAAGCTCTGAACTAGATAAGCTAGGCTTCAAGGAACAACTCCAAACCATGGCATAGTAAATAGGAGAGAAAACAGTATAGTCCTGTCAGCTCCAGATCCAAGTGTTCACTTACTTGCAAGTAGTGTTAAAATAAAAATGACAAGCTAAGAAAGTCCTATGAATTATTAATTGAATTTCCTTAGCTCATTTAGAAATATAGAAATGTGTTCTAAGGTCATAATCTTAGCATTCTCCCGCCAACAAAACAAATAAGGCTTTGTAGGCTTTCCCTTCTTCATTTCAACAGACCTTGGTATCTAATATGCTACATACAGTTTCCTAAAAAACCCACTGTGATCTATAATATTAGGTTGTACAATAAGATTTACCTGTATATTCTTTTAATTCCTGAAGAATATTTTCCATTACTGATGATTGCATTTCCTCACTACCTAACAAAGGCTCCTGCTCGTCTATTTTCAAAATATCAAAGATTAAATTAACGTTCATTGTTACTCTAGGCAAGCTCAATAAGAGCAGCAATATCAGTTATACAAACATCAACTGCCATCAACTGTCCTATAAGAATAAATAATTTTAAAATATTACCTTCCACCCAGAAGTACACCAGATACTACTCTTAGAAGTTCTAACAATATCTTAGGCAAATATCTTATCCTAAAATGTATGTTAATATATATGAGTTTAGCAATACAATCCTAAACAGGGTTACTCAAAAAGTATACTCAACGTAAATCAACAAGCACAAATTCTACACTTGGACATCACTATATCTAAATTAAGTAGCCTATATAATAGGGAACACAAAACAGAGAATGCAGTCTAGTCAGCCAGGACACTTCAAAGTGCAGATTGAAAAACAAGAATTATTGATGTCAAATATATGTGTTAAAAAGAGAATAAGTGTGTCAGCAAGGTACGACCTAGAGAAGACACAATCAGAATGTAAGGCCAGTGCAAGGAATAGATTCAGTATGCTTCCTTGGTGCAGAAAGCTATGGAAGAGGTAAAAGAAAAAATAAGAGACATCAATATCCTGAATATCAAAGCAGAAAAATAAATTCTCAGAATGTTAAAAAGGAACAGATCCAAGTGGCTTTCAGAAAAAGCTATTATGATAGCCAGGGAAAGGCAGAAGATGAAAGCCTTGGGCAATGAGAACACCATAGAATAATTAAACACAGTCTTTCAACGTCAAGCAAGAGAGGACAAAGAAAGACATTTCACTCAGGAATGTCAGCAAATAGAGAAATTTAACACAAAAAGGAAAATGAGAGATCCTATTAAGAAGAATTGAAAAATCAGAGGAAAATTTATAGCAAAGTTAAGAATGCTCAAGAGAAATCAAAAAGATTTCTTAAAGAAGATTAAAGAAAGATGGAAAGACTATACTAAAACCCTTTACAAATGGGATTATAAAATGACAAACATTTGTAAACAGAGAATATATTTAGGAACTGATTATGCTAGAAAATGAGGGAAAAACAGGCAGTAGACCAGCTATCAAATATGAAAATATTAGACACATCGAACTCTTTTAAAGCTGTAGGGAAAGTGAAAGTTTAAATGGAACATAGCCTAGGGATCAAAATTGATGCATATACCTATAAAAAAGAGATGCAAGAGAATATGCACATTGCCAGTTGACTGCATTTATTCCACATACAAGCAAAGCTTTGTTTAAGATCTTACAAAGAAGAATACAGCCATAACTGAAGAGAGAAATGAGGCAGGCTTCAAAAAAGGCAGAGGGACTCACAATCAGACAGCTAATGTCAGAAGAAGAATTTCCCTCTTTGAAGAAGGAGGCGATACCACCTGCTCTAAAGGCAGTAGTGTCTCCTTGGTTCTGAAGAGGCAGTCTCCCAATTCAGCCATTTTGCTGGGATCTGAAAGGAGGGAGACCTCTTGGCAGCATGAGACCTCTTGGTAGCATTAATATTGTTGTTACAGAGGTTCCACTCCTTGCTGAATGGGTGGTTCCAGTCAGGTATCAGCCCTTCAAGGCAGGCCAGGTAAAAAAACATACACCAAGGATTCCAGGTGCACTACTTTATTGTTGTAGAATATGAGAGAATCTTGAAAGTTTGTCCACGTTTGCTCCATAAACAAAATCAAGGCAAAGTTATTTTGAATTTTTTTCCCCACACTTGCTTCAATCTCCAGACTGTGTAATCTCTTCTTCAGGTCACTCCTTAATGACTCCTTTCTTCCTCCTCCCCTTAGTAGTCTTTCATACCTTCCCCAAGGTCAGCTCTAAAATCCTTTATACCAGGGATTATGGAAGAAAATTACTGTGTTTGGCTCCACTGTGGGATACCACAGGGCTCAGATCTTTCCTCCATGTTTTTCAACAACTACATGAAGCTTCTGGAGAGGGTCATCTATTGGTTTTGGGATGAGGTAGTATCAACATGGTAATGGTATTCAACTATATCCTAGCAAAATAGAGGTGCTGTTTGTTCTTAGTCAATGTGGCTTGATTCTGGTTGTGAGGCAGGGTGGTTCAGAATAGAAACGGGAGTGAGAAAAGTATGCATTTAAATTTAATTTATATAATGAATATATCATAAGAATAGCAGAATTGGAAGAGATATCACCTGAAATCAAGATTGGAGATTGGAACACCAACAATTTGAGATATGTAGATGACATAACTTTGTTAGCTGAAAATAAATTTAGAAAAGCTCATTATGAAAATAAAAATGGAAAATTAGAAATCCCTGTTAAAACAGAGGTAAATGTTGAAAATAATATTAAATAATAAGAATACCAAGGAATGCTTCTTGAACTTACACTAGAGAGTAAAGAAATAAAGGTGATGTACAGTTTTATTTTCTTAGCTCAAGAATGGACAGTGTGCTGAAGAAGTAAAGAGGTGATTAGTCCTGCAGGGGAATGTAATGACAAATTCATTCAAGGTCATGGAGATAAGGATATTTCAAGGACAATACAATCAGAAAAGTTAAAGCAATGAACTTTCCAGTGGTAATGTATGGCTTTTAAGGTTGGTAACTGAGAAAAAACAAGAGAAAGAAGATAAATGCCTTTGACTAGTGAATTTGCAGATAATTACCAGGAGTATCATGGACTAGAAGGAGAACAAATTGATCAGTCTTTGACTAAATAAAGGCTGACTGCTTCCTTGAGGTGATGAACAGCAAACAGAAACTCACATACTTTGGGCATGTCATATCAACAGATTATGGACTAGGAAAAAAAAAATGTTTGGTAAAGTGAAGGGAAAGAGAAGAAAGAGAAGACAATGGAGAAGGTAGATGGATGGGATTAAAGAGATTACTGGATGGCCCTTCGAACAGCTACTTGTTACTACTAAAGACAGGTCAAAATGTTGATCATTTGTCCACAGGTCAACCAAGAGTTGAACCAATGTAACCAACTGTCAAAATAAAATCAGTAACATTGTCTTTAGTCCAGAAATCCAATACACTGTATAACATGAAGAGCTTCCAGGCTGAATTGCTTGTCAAGATATAGCTCATGGCTAATGCACATTTTAATGAAATCCTAGTTTAAAATCTTTGGGAAACCATTTGATTTACTATAGAATAAACTCTGATCTAAGAGTACATTTATTATACAAAGGAGAGCAAAAGACACGTACCAGTCTCTTTGTTTAGATCATTTAGTATATTTTCCAGTTCTTTTACCGAGGTTTCTGATTGTTCGTTTATTGTGCTTTGTGAATTGTCTCTGTGTGCACTTCTTGCTGTAAATTGTAAAAATAAAGATTGACTAATTCTGATTGCACAAAATTATCTAACAATTTATTCAACTGAATCCATATTTACCCTTTAGTGATTGTAGAATTTGATTTAATAGCAACAACTGATAAGCCAAAGGTTCAGGGACATCTAAAAACAAAACACAAAATATTAAACTATTAAGATTCGCTATTATAAGGATTTTTTTAAAGAACACTTTTGCAAATTGTAAGAAGACTCTAATTGCCCCATGAATTTTGGAGTTATTTCCAATAAACCTAAATAAAAGCTGCCTTGAATAGTAATGAAGAAGAGCATTTTGTGAGTCCTGTAAAAGGGAATAATTCAGCAAAGGAAATATAAATGGTATAATACACAAACAGAAAATAGTTATAAGCACCGAGATAAATTGTATTTGCTATCTTACTGGCACTTATGTGTAACAGAATTGCTTGATAATTTGATCTGATAAAGGTAGTGTAAATTGACCTAGGCAGGTGACTAACTGCTAGCTGAAATGCACATTACATAATAAAACACAAACTAATCAGAAAATGGGACCTAGCTTTTAGGGGAAAAATTCAAAAGAAATTGCAGAAACGTCAGATGATTTTGTTCCTGACAGGACGTATCAGTTTAACATATAATGCAGTTTTAATACTACATGTTTGTTCTTTAAAGGAGAGAAAATGAAACTGATGTCTTGCATAACTGCAGCGGCTTGCTCACATATATGCATTTTAGTGATTGAAGTCCACACTTTATATATGAAGTGTGGACTTCAATTCCCAGAATTCTCCAGCCTGCATGGCTGGCTGGAGAATTCTGAGAGTTGAAGTCCACATATCTTAAAGTTGCCAGGTTTGAGAAGCACCGCTCTGGCCTAAGAGGAGTTATCTTTCCACCTTTTTTTCCCATTATAACAAGTGATAAAATCTGACGTATGTGGGATAGAGAAGAAACAATATGGTATGGACAAGACCCCTAGATAGCATCTGTGGTTTCCCTCAGTTAAGCACAATTTACTTTTTTATGGATTAAACCTTTTAGGTTTGCCATGCCTGACTAGATTTTGACCACTCTTTTTTTAATTATATCCATGACACCATATAGCTCAACACTTGAAAAGTTTGCTAAGCCTGCCACAGAAAAAAAAAAAAAACAGCCGTCAGCTGGCAAATGCCAGTTGTATGTCTTTTTTTTAATCATTATAAAGGAATTATTGAAATATATTGAGATAGAGAAAGAAATATTACACACATATTCATTCAAATGTTTTTCTAACCTTTGGGGATACTATCTTCAGCAAACACACTTGAATATTTTTCTATGTTGTTATATTTCAATGGTTTCAGAGCTTTAGATACACAAAGTACATACAGTAGTCAATTTCTTAAAATGTATAACAAGATAGACTGTAGACTATAGTTTTACTTCTTTCTCCACTCTGAAGCTTAGGAGAAAATAAAAACCAAATATTTGATTGCAAGGCTCTTATAAATATGAAAAAAGATCCTTAACAGCATACATCCAGATCATAAATGGAAATAACATTATTTATAGTAATACATTCTATTTCTGCATTGTACTAGGTTCAAGATGAGAAGGATTTTTGGATCCTCCAGAACTACAGGGCATCTTATGAATCCTAAAATGTTATCAGACACATGTACATTTCAGTAGCACAAGTAGATTTACTATTACCTTCAGCCTACAAACATACACCACTAATAAGCTCTTTCTACAAAAGGTCTTTTCAATATAGTTCAGGACATTGTACTTTCATGAAAATTTCTTTTAAAAATGTGGAGGAGAAAAAGAAAAAAAGATGTTGATAACCCTGTTATGATGAATGAACTGCATTACATTTTCTTCAGACAAATGACTTTCTATATATTTCATACACTTGGCATCTTACTCATACAAAGCAAATCCCATCCAGACTGATGAACGAAAGTAATGGCATCTTGGCCACAAAATTCCCATGTAATATTGTAATTATATAAAATCATTTTCAAGTGTACAAAACTTCACATTCATGATCTCAACAGTTTTTACAACAGCTGATAAGATCAGCTATTATTTTTAAAGCAGGCTAGAATTCTATACTTAATTAGGCTACTTGATAAACTCACAGCTAAAAAGAAATTTAAAGTAGAGATTTCTTGACTTTTAGCTTAGCCATTACCGGCAATTTCCAAGTTCGCAGTTTGGATGAGAAAGCTGTTACAATTTTTGAGAAAATAAAATATTTGACTTCAACATTAAAATGGAAGAAGAAATTCTATAGGTATTAATTAATTAATTAATTAATCAATCAATCCAATTTATACAGCTACCCATCTACCAAAACCAAATTCTGGGCAGCAAACAAAATAAAAACACAATACAATAAAACAGTCATTTAAAACAATAAACGACATTGAGGCCCCAATAAAAACGCACCATCTACCAAGTACCGCATGCCAGCTCTATCAACATCCTGGCCCCAGTGCCTGGGGGAAAAGCCTGGTCTTCACCACTTTCCTATAGGCCAACGGAGTCAGGGCCACCTGCATATTCTGGGGGGAGGCTGTTCCATGAGGCACGCACCATGACAGAAAAGGCATGCTTCCAAGGCCCCACCAGGCAACACTGCTTCACTTATAGACCAGTTAAACTCTAAAAGTGCTAGCTTTGGTCTATAAACTCCTAAGCAATTTAGAGCCAGCGTCATGAGACTTCCCTTAATTTCAGGCCTTCTTATGTCTCACTATGAAGATGGTGGGTTGTTGACCATACAACCCTGACTCTTTTCTGACAACTTGCTTTTACTGAATTTTAGGGAAACCATAGAAAACACTTGTTTTGCTGAGATTTAAATGTTCTTCTCTGGCTTGTTTCAAGAAAGATTCCATTTCTGTTTTCATTTTGCTCTTGTAATATATTGGTTTTACTTTGTTGTTGCATTTATATTTTTAAGTTGTGCTTTGAGGATCCTAAGGAGCAGGTGGCGATCGCAAAACTTTCAACAATTCTCTTTCAGTCTCAGTACCACAGTAATAAAGTCACCATAATGGAATGACTCATAAAACTGTTGTAAAAAAGAATGACATAAGCAATATCATAATAGGGGCTCTTATTAGAAGCTATATAACAAAATGTATAATTGCATTCTACTCAGTTTCATTCCCAAAATACCATAGCAACAGTTATGGTAGTGCAACTCTATAATCACTTCAAGGTGAACCCAAATTTTGCTGTTAAAAAAAAAAGTCTTTACCTGTTACAGGATGATTTCTCTTACTGCTCTTGGACACGCTCTCTCCTGTAATTCCACCATCAAGTTTTATTGGAGCTTTTCTTCTCCCTTTTTTAGGGATATGCTTCATTTTCTTATCCACTGAACTATTTACTATCACTTGCATACCATTGTCTTTTAATACTACCGAATCCATTTTAAGGCCTTGGTTAATAATGTTGTTGGCTACAATATGAACTTCAGGGACCTCTCTTGAATCTTTTAAATTGTAAATGTCAATCTGAGTTTCGCTTGAATTGTCGGGAGAATGAAATCTTACGGTAATGTTAGTTGTTCTTAATGATCTGTCACCATTATTACCAGCAGTTTTGTCCTGTTTCAAGTCAGGAAGCAAAGCCCCTTCCTTTTCATCCTCTTCAGATCCTCCACCCTTCACTTTATTATGTCTCATTGGAGTATCCATAAGGATATTTGGGGAAATCTTGTAAGCCTTGTTACCCATCAGCACTGAATAGCTATTGGGGAACAGTCTTTCTTTTGCGGTTAGGCTACTGGGACTTGCCTTCTCTTTTACAGAGGATCCTGAAAAAATATAGTTGTATATGTTAAAAATTCCAGCAGAATATTCTGCACTAGTCATGCAGATTACAAATATAATTCACATGACACTATTGATATTGTGATTCTAGGGTACTTTGCAAGGAAAACATATGAAAGGGATAGGTTTCCAAGTAACTGTATTTTAGACTAAGGCATCCCATGGTGAAAAGAGAATTTGAGTGTTACTGAGAGCGCATGGCCTTTTCCATAGAAAGATCACAAATGCCCACCACAGTGACTACCTGCCTTTTACCAAATTCATGTGTTCAGTGAATGGTCTGCCTTGTTTTTCTGTGATTTCATGTTCATGCATCAAATTCTTTTGGTGCAGAACTTGGATTCGTTGATCTGCAAATGAAATAATCAGTATGAATACATTATTTTATTTATTTATTTATCACATTTATATAGCTCCCCATCTCACACAAAGCAACTCTGGGTGGCGTACAACAATTAAACGCACTTTTAGCTTGGTTCCTGTGGGACATATAGGTGAAGACATACAAATTAAAGCAAAACAATAATTTAAATAGTTAGTTTTAGTTATGCACTACTGTGCAGTGGCTTTAAACTAGAAAATATTCGGTTCTAATTTGTTGTCAAATATGTCTTTAAGTAAGTCATCATCTTGAGTGTCCTTTTCCTCAGTTTTTAGTAAAGAGGTAATAAATGCAAACCTGTTGCGTATGAAATATTGAAGACAATACATGTGAAGTCCTCCAAGGATGCTATAAGAATACTAAAAATGAGCGTCACCAACTTCTGGTTTGTAAGAAGTAAAACAAAATTCCAGACTGCAGATTGGAAAACTTAATGACTTATATTTAAAAAATGTTTTTGCAATATGTATGGCATGGCCCTGCCTGGAGAATTCAGTGATTATAGCTCAGGTCATAAACATATTTATAGGGACTAAAGACTTATTGAACTCATTAAAACCATACCACGTGTTTAACATTGAATCCATAAGCGGCAGTCACTTCATGTAATACCATATCAATGCAAAATGATACATTTTCATGCCTAGCTGTGACATTTAATGTGTATCATTAATCTTCCAATCACTTAAGAGTGATTGTTGACAGTGGCTAGCATTTCTGCAGCTGGTGTGGAAACTTTCACACAATTTAATATATTTAAAAATAATAATATTAAACAAACTGTACAGTTGGAGCAGAGGGAATTTAAGAGGTAATCTGTACCAAAACAAAACAGTGCAGTGGTGCCTCAGAACCAAAAAGAACCTTGGTGCAGATCCTGCCTGAAAGATACCCTCGGTCATCATAACTATTAGTCCCTATGGATGTAATTAATTCCCTCTAAAAGCCACCAGACCAGTGGTCATCCCCATATATTGTTTGATGTCCTCAGGTAAACTATGCAAAACCATCCCAAATCCATAAGAAATAAACAGAAATGAATAAAATATTAACACACAATTAACTATTTTTCATTATTTGAAAGGAAGAGGACATGGGTTATGGGTTACATCTTAATCACAAATATGAAACCGAATATTCTACACATCTTTGTATCATAATATGTAATGTTATTATGCTTCTAGAAAATGGCTACTTACCAAGTAATTTCATAATGTCTTTAAGACTATTTTTTGAAACTACTGAAGTGTGAACATCTGCAAAAAATAAATAAATAATAAATTGATGTTTGTTTATTTTAAATCACTTTTAAAGCACATGTTTTAATCAACTATACTGAAACATTTTGAAATAGCTGGGGATGTTATATCAAGACATGTACCCACTGAACTCAGCAGAAGTTAGAACCAAATCTTCTGACTACCTACAGAGAGAAGTGTGATGCATTAAGAAAATTTGTGCCATATTCTTTCTAAGACCCTCTTTTTCATAGTTTACTCAACTTGTAATTCAAGCCATTTTTTAACCATGCCATTACAAATTATCTAAAAGTGATTAGACTCATAACATAATGTTATTCTAGGTGCAAATTCTGACCCAATGAAGCTTCCTAGCCTTAGGAAATGGTAGAAGGCCTAAATCAAAGACAACAAATCAAAGCTCAGAGAACCTCAAGGACTTCAAAGGCCACAAATCAAATCAAAGACCACACTTAGAATAGGGTGGGGAAGGAATAAAAAGAAAGTAATGAAAGTGGATGACTTTTTAATTCACCGTTTATACCTGCCAGAAAACCCAGATTGCATTCAAGGAAATATTTTCTTGAATGAACTGTTTTGAAGCAAACAGGCACTATTTTGATTGGCCCAATGAACAGTAAACTAAGCTGGGCAACATGCAAAGACAAGACAGGGAAAATGTCAAGAACTCAAATTGGACAACTACAAAGCAAACTTGAATTTGTGAATTATTCCTCAAAGAGATTTCCATTAACCCCTAATGGAACAAATGGAGGATTTTCAGCTTCTCTGAAATAGAGCCATATCAAAAAGATGATTTGGGAAATAGCTCATAAGAAGGAAAAAACTACTAAAAAAATAAGATGTTATTTAATATCTAATTGGATCAATACTGAGGTATTAAAAGCACCCATGACATGGATACCTGGCTCCTCTAAAGCCACAAGCTCATGTTTTGCTCATAGAACGTAGGAAACGGCTACTAAAGGAACATACAAACCTGATGCACTTTGAAAAATCATCTCACAGAGGGTTAAGGGACCCATTTCACCTCTTAATTTCTCCCTAGAAACAAAAGCAAAAAACAGGCCAGCCAGGGATTTAAGATGCATGCTGGGGCCCTTGAAATTGTACCATACTAAAGGCATCCATTTTGCTCCTTAAGCCCCCTCCCACAAATAAGGCCTTAAAGACATGGCTCTGTCACCACGCCTGGGGATCAGGTGTGCCTGAGCCTATACAATGGTTGTACTGATTTGTCCCTGATGAGTTTATTTTTTATCTCCACTGTGGTTATATGTGTGTTGCCATTTCTTGTTCTTTTTTAATGTTTTATGCTGGTTTTTAAACTATTATTAGCCACCCAGAGTCATGAACTTGAGATGGGCAGCCATCTAAATCAACCAACCAACCAACCAACCAACCAACCAACCAACCAACCAACCAACCTGTTAGACAGTAGTCTTATCAGGATTGTTTCCAAGCTGGGAATAAAATACGCAGGCAGTTGCTTCAACCAGAGGTGAGTATTTATTTCCAAGAGTATAATGTACAGAGTCAGCCCCGAGTCCTCCCCAGAAGCACTTTATATAGAGAAACCTTGCTTTTGTTCTTCAAGTGTGCAACAGTGCCCCCTTTAGGAATTCCGAGAAAGGGCACTTAGCTGGCGTTCCAAGAGGGAGCGCTCTGCAGTCGGGCAACCTGCTGAGTTGGGGTTTCCACTTGTTTAGCGTTGCTGATTGAAATGGTAATCTCTTTTGGGGAAAGGATCTTTTCTTATTTAATCAAGGAGACCTCCAACTAAACTCAGCCTGGAAGGAATATTCACCCAATTGGCATTTCCTGCTGCATTTTAATCCTTGTGTTGAGCCCATTCTAATTGTAATTTTTAACCTTCTGCCCTGATTACAGCGGGAAGACTGTATGGCAGGGGGACTTGATTTCCTTCCCACAAATCAAATAAATAAATAAACACCACCCCATGCTGAAAATGTCATGATGTCCAGTCAAGCTATCTATGGCGCTTGAAAAATTATGATGGCTTCCAGCCTGAAGGACATCACCCTGCCTTAGCTTCTTGGGTCAAACAGTTGGGTAAGTTGCTGTATATATATTTTTTTAAAAATAGTAGGTGAAAAGAAATAAGAGAATACACTAAAATGCAACAATGCCTCTGTAGTATCACTTTTAATTCTTTTAAGAACTAATATTTGTTTCCAACCCGCTTCTACTTGGGGATGGAAGAACAATAAATCACTGCTCCCTTAGACTGACTGTGGTCTACAGAACTATTCACTCTGGCATGACCATCCATCATCAGACCTATTCTGAAAGCCACAACATATTCAAGAAGTATATGCATGAATCCAAAGTTCCAACTCTAAAGCAATGACAAAGCTGATTTTCAAATGGTCTTAATGACAGACAATCTGCATACCAATTGACTCATTTGCGCACATGATAGCTTAGAACAATACAAGAAAAATATGTAAAAAGGTCTGTAATGGTGCATGACAATTGCTTCCAAGTATGCTGACCTTTGGTAAATGAAACAAACAAAAAGTACAGTACTCTTTTGACGAGACATTAATGGGTGATTAAGAATGAGTACAGCTGCATCATCTGAACATTTGGTTAAAAATATTCTTTTTGCATTCAGTGTCAGTCCCATAATTATGATTGAAAACACTGTGGAAGGAAGCAAGTAAGCCTATGCAGTAAAATATTTATGTTTTTTAAAACAACTATATGGTTTTTAACAACACTGTCAAATGCCAGCTTGGTTATTACTTTTCCAACTGTTATTATTTATTCAAAGACCCTATCGTTGTTATATGCAGTTACTAAAGTACTATAGCACATTTTAATTTAATTTCTAGTGACTGAAGTATATACAAGTTTATAAGGTGTCCACCAAATAACCTTCCTATTTTTTTTCTGGAATAAATGCAAATAAAATAATTGTACTGGACTTTTAAAAGTTTGCCTATTTGTCAGAAATTTCTTTAATAATGAAAAAAAATAAATACACTGAATGTCTATTTCAAAAATAGGAATGTGAAAGCTACATGCTTGTATTTGAAAGATGTAAATATCACACAATATTTTGGTCTTCTTGGTAGTAATGGCAAGGAAAGAGATGATGCTAAAATCTTACTTCTCAAAATGGGAAATGAACTAAGGAACTGTAGGCCACTATTGTGACTCCAATCACTGGAAGGTAAGACGACAGCAATTGTATGCAGCTTTCTTCAGATAACTTCAATGAATGGAGTATCATGCTTCATGAATGGGCTTTATGTTGTGCCTTATCAATTTCTCTATTTGTATTCTAGTTAACTAACTTGTGCTCCGGTTCCCATAAACAATCTGTATACTGTGAAGCAGATTGGAGAGAACCCTTAGGAACGACTGTATTAATTACTCTACTGAGTTCTCCATTTCAGGTCCCAGTAGGACACTGACAGAATCACCAATAGTTTTTCAAAGCGGACTACCTTGATGTGTCCACTATCTCTACAGAGATGAAATGCAACTGCAAATTCAATCGTGATAACAGTCCATCCATAATAGAGAACCTGAATCACTTTTATCCATAGAACATTTCCTGGACTGGATCAATTTAAGCATATGACTATTATTATGTGTTGGCTCTGTAACCAGCTGGGATAGATCCATTGCTGTCATTGTTGCTAAGCACCGAACCACTCCAGAAAAGCCAGCCCCAAAATAGTACTTTAGCACTGTAAGCCTAGAGAATTCCAAAAGAAACTCAGAAGCCAGGTCTATCAACTCAGTCTCGGTTTCCATTAGGCAACAAGGTGGCTGATGCCCTAACAGAATTGCCCTGGTTCTAAGACTAAAGCATAACCACCCAATTCTCTGACAGGTATCATGAGATATTGTTTCTATGCTTATATTACCTCCCTACTCCTCCCCAGCCTGCTCAGCTACAAAATGCCCAGCTATGAGAAGATGGGCCACAGCAGCTCACTTACCCTCCCCATCACTAAAACTTTGTAATCAAAGCAAGTCAGTTCCCTCAGCCACAATCAAATCTATCTCAGCTTGATTTCAAGCCAATATAGCAATAAAAAGTTTACAGCAATTTAGTTTTTCAGGGAACTAAAACCACTCTTAAGTTTTGAGAGTAGGCAGGATCACCAGAATGGGGAGTAGGTCTTATATTTCTAACTTTTCTTCCCCAGTATTGAATTGCTGGCCTGCCAATGTCAAACCTTCCATCCGGCATTCCTATGGTAATTGCCACCCAAATGAAGATGGCTAAAGCACATTTCATTTGAATATTAAATGACCCTTTTAATTACAGGTCTTGTGAATCTTTTTTCCGTGGTGGAATAATTAAAAATATCAATACTGTTTTTGTTTGCACTGCAAGAGCAGATAACTAGTTCCATTGCAATTCTATTATATTAATGATATTAGTAAATTAATAAATCCTACACTATATCTCATGAAAAAAAAATAGTCAAACTTCCCAAGTGTAATAGATTCTTTGGACACATTATGTAGAGATGAGAATTATCATGCTATGATATATGTAGGGTTATAAATTAAAACTTTTATAGTAAGCTTTCTGTCTTATTTTTTTATTCCAGTCCTAGTTGAACCAGTCATCTACTTCAACTTCAACTCAGTACAGAATCCATTAGAGCATCTTGGCAGATGACCATCCAGCCTCTGTTTGAAGACCTCCAGTGAAGGAGAACTCACCATGCCATGTTGCAGCTTATTCCACTGATTGACACCTCATATAGTTAGGAACTTGTTCCTGCTGTTTAGCTTGAATCTCCTTTCTTGTAGTTTTAATCCAGTGGTTCTGTCCCTTGGGGCAGTAGAGAATAGGTACACTCCCTCTTCTCTATAAGAACCTTTCAGACATTTAAAGACTGTGATAATCTCTCCCCTTAGTAGGCTAAACATAACCAAATCTTTTAACCATTCATCATACAGCTTGGTTTCCAAACTCTTCACCATTTTGGTAGCCTTTCCCTGGACTTGCTCCAATTTGTCACTGTCTTTTTAAAATTGTGGTGCCCAGAACTGGACACAGAACTCCAAATGGCATTTGAGCAGGGCAGAGTAGAATAGGAAAATTATGCCCCATGATTTGGACTTGTGCTCCTGTTCATGCACTCAAAGATATCATTTATCTTTTTAGCAGCTGCAACACACTGCTAGCTCATGTTTAACTTGTGATGAACAAGAACATTCAGATCCCTTCATATGTATTACTGCCAAGCCAGGTCTTCCCACAGTATACTTGGGTTTTACATTACTTCTACTCAGACCCAGATTTCTCTCTGTTTAATTCCATCCTATTCATTTCAGTCCACTGCTCAAGCTTCTCTATATCTTTTTAATTTTTTTTTTCTAAAGTATTAGTTATTCCACCCAGTTTTGCATTACCAGCAAACTCTGGGTATCCCCTCAACTCCTTCATCCAAGTAGTTGATAAAAATGTTGAACAGCACAGTGTCCAAAACAGAATTCATACTTCCTTCCAAGCTAAAGTGGAGCCATCAATGAGCATACTTTAGATGTGGTCATTCAGCCAACTAAGAATCCATCTAATGGTAGTATCATCTAGTCAATATTTTATCATTCTACGAAAGTGAGTAAGGAACTCTGTCAAAGGCTTTGCTGAGGTCCGGGTACACTATGTTACTCCATTCTCCTGATTCACTAAACTAGTAACTCCATTAAAGAAGGGGATTAGATTAGTCTAAGATTTGTTTGCAAGAGACCCATACTGTTAATGGCAGCATGCCCATTCAAGCGCTCATAACCACTGCAGCTCTGTTTGAAGATCTTGCCCAGTATAGATATCAAGCTAGCAGGTCTATAGTTTTCTGGGTCCTCCTTCTTCCCCTTTTTGAAGATGGGAATGACATTTGCTGTCCTCCAGTTTTCTGCAACTTCGTTAGTCCTTTGGGTGTTCTCAAAGTGACAGTAGTTTTACAATCACCTTCATTCTAGTCCTTTAGTTCCCTGAGATGTAATCCATCAGGTCTCAAAAACCTGAATTAATTTTAATTAATCAAGTTCTCTCCTATGTTCTCTTTGTCTATCTTAAGCTATAGTTCCCTCCTTCCCCCATAACATAACCATGATCAACTAGGGCTCTATTTCCCTTCAGAGAAAAGTCAGTTGTCAGTGATAGAGGATAAATATTTGGTGGACCTCTGATTCTTGGCAGAGTTAGATTTCCAAATGTCAGAATAACTTAAATCCCCTATTATCACCATTGCATGTCTCTTTGAAAGGCTGGTCATTTGATGCAGAAAGACCTCATCTCTACTTTCTGCCTGCCCAGGTGGTTTATAGTAAACTCCCACAATGGTGTCACTTTTGTTTCTATCTCTTTATCCTTATGAAAGTACTTTCAACAGGACTTCCATGCTCTGGTTCCTGAATTTCTATGCAAATACATATTTTCTTTACATACAGTACACTGCTACTTAGAACTGTTTCTTTTGATTAAATTGTTGCCTCCCAGTTCTGTGCGTAAACCATGAGTATCATCCCACCAAGTTTCAGTGATGCTTATCAAGTCTTGTCTTCCTGAATTAGAATCTCTAGTTCTCCTGTATATCTCCCACAATCTAGGCACTGATGCAGAAACACCTGAGGTTTTGAGCATTATCTACAATTTCTGTTGTAGTGTCCTGTGAAACTCTGCCCCCCTTCCTCCTAATTTTCTGTTTCTTCCTTTGTTCTCTGCTCTCTTGATCCCTAGGTCTCCATTAAAACATAAACCAAGGAGAAGGCTCTTCGAGAAAGCCACATTAAACTGCTATCCGCTAATCCTTGAGCTGGCACAAAAGTATACTGGCATGAATTGTTCTGCCTGCATTGCTGATCCCTAATCTGCAAACATAAGGGACTGGTGAAAGATGCTGTCTTTACATTCCTATTGCAAGCCAAATTAAGAAAAAGGATTGCTATATTCCCCCAGCCAAGTTCCCTTTTCCATTTGCTGGCAGGAAAACAACAACCAATCATTCTCTCTAATGTAGAATGAGGTAGAACTGGGCAAATGTAGGATGCTTAGAATAACAGGGTTAACCACCTGTTAAGTTGCCCATAGACAGGCAAATAGGGTGATGTGAGAGGGAGTGCCCCAATGTTTTTGCACACCTGTGATCTGTCAGTAGGTTTTTTTCTGAACTCAGGTCTAAAGTTCTTCTGAAAGAACATTAAACCTGTGTTCAGAAATAGCCCAGGTGACACGCAGTACGCATGAAGAAAGGGTACAATGTAAAACAAGAGTTAATGATAATGAGGAAACTCCACCTTTGACTGGTGCTCCAAAGCTATGGCAGTGCTGGCAGCAAATGGGCAGAGTATCAAGTTCTGACCATATGGCTAGCAGCACCTACTGCCACCAAAGCCAGAATGGAGTAAGCAAAATGGCAAAGTCCCCCTATCAAAGACAAAATGAAACCCCTTGTCCAGAGAAGCCACAAGTGATAACAGAATTAACAACAGATTGCTGATATAACCCAGCTTTCTTTTTCAGTTTAAATTATCTCTGCTACATAGCACTTGTCCTTTTTTTCTTTTTAAACACAGGTCTAAAGCTCTTACTAAACAGCACTAAACCCATACTTATAAGGAGTCTGTGTAAATCTTTACAACTGGTATAGAAAGTACCAGTCAGGCATTATGCCAGCAGATGCCTCTGAAGAAGCCACGTATCCTGCAGCTGCGCCCATGGCCAAGTCAAAATGGCCATGGGGAGTAGTTCCAGTAACTAGAAGGAAGCAGACATACTGGCAGCAATAGAAGCTGGACAGCTCATAAGCCCTGGACTGACTAGCCACCAAATGGCTAGGGGTCCATATTCTAGAACCCAGACACCATTGGGAGAAAAGCAAACATTCTACTTTAAATCTCAAACTCAGGGTGATTTTAAGCTACTTCAGGTTGGAGATGAGATGAGGGCACCATTGTGAGGAAATGGTCAAAGCAGGGAGGGAGGAAGAAATTACCAGATGTTCCCATGATTGAATGGGACATGAGGAAGAACCAAGTCTACAAGCATAACCTGTAGATTCTTTTTCAATCTAATGCATGGGGCAAAAATCAGAGCATCAGTAAATGTTTCTGGTTCTGATGGAACAAGCTATGTGGCTGGTGTGCCCAATTCAGCTTGACGAGACACAAATTGTGTACTAAGCTAATAATCTTGAATCACAGGATGCCAAAGTCTTAAGTAGCATTTGTCAGGCCTTTGACCACAATTATATCTAATGTACTGTAAAGTGACTTTGGAGGGTCACTCATAACTGACAGCAGCAGACTGGCACCAAACTGCAACTTTATATAGATCATTCTAAAGTCTGTGGATGAGTTTAAGTCAGAAAAACAAAGTGGCTGGATGGGCAGATCTGGATTCAAATCCCCTCCTGGCCTTGGTTTCACTGTACAACCCTGAGGAAATAATTCCTTATCGTCAGATCAGACCAGGAACGCAAACTCCTCAACTCTATGGTGAAGAGCACCAATAAAGCGATACAGCACGATGAAAAGTGCTACCGAAATGGCAACTCGTTAGAGCCGAGGAGGTCCCAAAGGGTCCCGTGGGTTCACAACAGCCGCAGTCCCACCCTACCTGAGCCCGACCCACGCTACCTGGGTCACGTTCCCCCGCCCGGAGCCCAGGCTGACTTTCTCGGCTTGGCAGAAAAGCGAGCAGGAGGAGGAGATAGGCGGGTGCTGCACCCCTGCCAGAGCGCGCCATGGTCTCCAGCGACGGCCTGCTGCAGGAGCCTGGAAAGTCCTCTAGCATCCCTTCTCGTCTTCCTCGCGTCGGCTGGGGGCTCGGTCGCTAAGACGCGCGCGGCGGCGGCGGCGGCGGCGGCGGCGGCGGCGGCGGCGGCGGCGGCGGCGGCGGCGGCGGCGGCGGCGGCGGCGGCGGCGGCGGCGGCGGCGGCGGCGGCGGCGGCGGCGGCGGCGGCGGCGGCGGCGGCGGCGGCGGCGGCGGCGGCGGCGGCGGCGGCGGCGGCGGCGGCGGCGGCGGCGGCGGCGGCGGCGGCGGCGGCGGCGGCGGCGGCGGCGGCGGCGGCGGCGGCGGCGGCGGCGGCGGCGGCGGCGGCGGCGGCGGCGGCGGCGGCGGCGGCGGCGGCGGCGGCGGCGGCGGCGGCGGCGGCGGCGGCGGCGGCGGCGGCGGCGGAACCCTCGCCGCTCTGTGGCCTCACTCCGCCGCCCCGCGCCTCGCCAGCCCGCCCGCTCTCGTGCTCAGGACGGAGCGCCACGCGAGCGAACGGCAGAGGGCGCCTCCCGCCTGGAGGCGGCCGCAGAGGGCGCTAAGAAAAGCCGAGGTTTTGTTCCCTTCCTCGTCGGCCGGCAGCTGCTGAGCCCGAAGGTGATCGTGGAAGAAGGGAAAGCGGCGGGTTCTTGCTCAGGGAAGCACGCTTCTCGGGACAGCGCGTCCCCGTCCCTCCCTGAAAGCCGGTTTCCCAGTTTCAAAACATCCCCCGTTGCAGGAAGAGCTTCTAAGACATACCCGGAGTGGAAACGACTCTCCAACCGTTATTAATTACGCGCGACCTCCGCAACACCCAGACTTGCCGCGACTGAACGCTGCTGTGCTCGCGATAAAACTGAACGAAACTTTTTGGAAGGGCAGGAAAATGTAAGAAAATTCGAAATACTCCGGACCGAAGCTCCTGAAAGCAGCAGGAAAGGGATTGGCTTCACCCAGCAAGTCCAGGAAAGGAAGCCTGGCCCTGAGAGGTATTTGGTTTAAGACCAGGCTGCTCAGACTAAGACCTTTCCCTTGAAGGCCTTTCTCCTGAACCCCGGATCTGTATGCTTTGCAATGCGGGCCCTGCCAGATATTGATTGATTGGTTATTGCCATCAGGTCGTTTTTGGCTCCTAGCGGCCGCATAAATAGATATTCTCCACGTCGATCTAACCCTAAACTGGTCTTTCCAGGCCGCATAATAATAATCTGGTCTTTCCAGGCCTTCCAGGAGGAGCCCAGAGCTAGCATGGCCAATGATGGTGGGGCAGTAAGTCTTAGAAAGCTGGGTGTCAGCGGCCTGGAGAGCCAAGAGGTGGATGCCAAGCAGTACCTTCTTGTTGAGGGGAGGGTCCTGTGCCAGCCTGTGGGTGGCATGCCTGCTGCATCCCTTGCAGGCAGCCGAAATAGGTACCTGAGGAGGAAGAGGCCTGGGGAAACACCATTTGGGGAACACTGGGTTGGTAGCCTGAAGACAGAGAAGCACTAGAGAAAAAAGGAGAGAGGAAGGAGAAGGGAAGAAAAATAGAGCAGACCACATGGGAAGTGGTGGCTGGCAAAGCCCATTGTTCCTCCCCTCCATGTGGGGAGTGCCCATGAATAGTGAGTTCGCCCCTCCCCTAGGGAATGCCAGAGCATTTTTCCCACCTGCTGAGTTCAAATGCTATCCTTGAGTTGGCAGGAAAGTAAACTGACAAAAAATTGTTGTGCCCAATCCCTATCCTGCCTCTGTTGCCCCCAATCCAGTTACTGCCACTCAGTTGATTTCCCGCCAAGGCAGGGCCATCCGAGGATGTGCTCAAGAAAGTCAAGATGGTGGCTGCAGCGATGCAGTCAAACCTCTGCCTGTTTTTTATGTGCTTCGCAATTGCACCATTGTGGCCCCCATTTTGACATTTTTTACCATACCCTGCAGATGGTCTTGCTCCAAGGTATCTACCAATAAAGGCTAATAGATTTTAAACTCTTTCAGGCACATCTTAGATGCTGTTGTTTAAGAGGGAAAAGGGTACTGTAACACTGGTAAAGGTAAGGACAACTTAAGCCTTTCTTACAATGGCAGGGGAAACAGCAGTAAAAAGAAGTTGCCAGAATATGTTTGTACTATAATTGGCTGCAAGAGGGGAAAGGCCCAAAGTATTAGTCTAAAATAGATAGGCCTTGGCTTTAAGACTTAATGGAAACTGGATTAAGAAATGCCTAATGGAAGCCCACAGGCAGAACATGGAGAAGCTACTGTATATAAACAGGGAGCAACCCCACTCTCAGCACTGATGTTACCCAGTCAGGTAAAATGTCTGCAAGCAAACAACCAAGCTCAGAGAGCACCAAGGGCTCCATACTTATAAGTCTCATCTTTAGTAGCTCCAGAGAATACATCTCTGGAATACCCAATTTGGAGCTCAGTTCGTTTCAAATTAAGCTCTTTCAGATGCCATTATTCCAGTGGAAGACAGGGTTTAAGTATCTTGCATTAAAATCAAGTTAATTTAAACATACTTAAGCTGGGCTTTATTAACCAATGTTTGCAAGAAATATTGTTAAATAATACTGTTATCTATATGCAGTGTTTAGAGCATTTCGAAAGAAAAGAACATAATGGATCTGCTTTATAATTGCACAGGGTCATTTGAAAGAAGGAATCAATGTATATATTAATGCAACTGTAATATGGCTCTGCAGTAAAGATAAATATATTTTTTAAAGGGATGAACATTTGCTGATTCTAAATTAGATACAAGCAGAAGAAAATATATATATACAAAGGAAGCTAATCATAATAAATGTCCCTTAAAATACGAATGATTATAACAAGCCTTTAAGTTTCATTATTAATTTAAGAACATTTTTATCTTTTTAAATTAGTGCCAGATATTTGAAAGAATGACTTATATTTAGAAATGTGTACTCAAAGAATACTCATGAATGATTCCTTCTCAGACTAAAAGGAGGTAAGGAGCTATTGAATTAAGTGCCCCAATGGTCAGTCCTGGGTCTTCTATCTCTCAACCTTGCTTCACAATTTATTCCCCATCTGATATTTTTGTATTCTGATGTCTGAGCAAAAATGTGAGAAGCATCTAGCAAAAATCATATTTTTGTTAAAAAAAATCTAAGCAGAAAACCATCCAAGGAAAGAAGTGGTTGTGGACAACAAAGGAGTGAGGATGTTCAGGGAGAATATGGATATTACAGAAGTGTAATGAATTCTTTGTGTTTGCAATATAGGACAGATGTTGGATCCTATATTGACTTTTTTCAGGTAGGAAATTAGAATAACCAAAGCAAACTGAGGTAAAAGAGAAGGTATTCTAGGACATTTTAAGAGATTACACAAGATCCTTAATGTACCCACCCAATAGTTTGACTCTAATGTGAAATTTCTGATCACATAAACAAAAAAAATTTTTTTTTCCTCTTGATTTGGACTCAGTACCAGAAGTAACCAACATGATAATCAGTTGTTTTTTTTTAAATAGAACCAGAGAGATCCAGGTAATTTTAAGACAATCGGCTAAATGTTATGGATAAATTGGTAGAATGGTCATGAAAGAACCTGCTGACTTCATAAACTTGAATTTTCAAAAAGCTTTTGACAAAGTTCTTCATTAAAGCCTCTAGAGTAAACTTAGTTGTCATGAATAAGGGAATCCTTTTAAATAACAGAAAGCAAGTAGTAGTAAATGGGCAATAATATCGTCATGGAATTTTGCCAAAGTAAGGAGGACAGCACTAAGGAAAAGAACCATGTTTATTGCAATGATCATTGGGTGCCTGCTTTACAAGAAAGAGGGACCCTGAATAATGGGAAAGCAAAGATTTTTGTAGAATTTGTGGGCTACAAGTTAGGAAATCCTAGGGATCTGAGTTGCTGGCCTGTTTGGAGAAGCTGGGCAGGTTTTGGTCAGTGTATCTAGGGTGAGTTTTGTTGTTAGGCAAAATGAACCTTTCAGGAGGGCAGTAGAGCTGGGGAAGTTCATTGTTAAGGAGATGGAATGTTGAGGTCATCAGCCAATAGAGGATGGAAGGTTGGGGTTGGGGTTTCTCTAGGTTGCAATTTACTTGTAAGGATTACCCCTGGGCTGTACGAGCTGGCGAGGAGGCTTCTATTCTTTGGTTTAGATGGGATTGCAGGGGGCTTTGTCTGGGGCAGGGAGGGTCAATTTGGATCTGATGGGATTAGGCAAAGAGAGGAACTGGGTTTGACTCTGGTAATATCTAAAAGATGGGGAGGAAGGAGTGCAGTCTCCATTTTGTTAGGTTTATTTTTTCTACTATAGTAGGTCCCATTATAGAACACTCCTTCTGTAGTACTAAGCCTTTACTGAGGCCCTTTCTTTAAGGTTTTCATTTTCACTCCCCATAGGATTCATTGGAAAGCCCTCTTCATTAAGTTCACTATGCTGCAGACAAATTGTAGGGAGTAAGGAAGATGACCTTCACAGAGATATGCAGGATCCATTGCCTAGGCAAAAGGGGCTGAGCATTTTTTAAGTCCACAACAAGATAACATTCAGAAGGAGGAGGAAGTACAAAACAATCAAACTTGCAAGGTTCTGTTATTATGGCCAATAAAAGTGGTTGTAGCCTACCTATTGATTTCCTGGTCTACCTAGTGAGGCTGACATATATTAGACCTTGTGAGGTGTAGCCTATCCTGTGCAAACAGTGCATCTTCCACAAACCAAATTTCTCCCATCAAAACCTGTTAAATAAGCTATTGTACGCATGCAGTGTAGTGATATGGATGTAACTGTCAGTTGTCTTCACATGGATTAGTTAAAAGGGATAATTGTCAGTGGATGTTGGAAGCTGTTCTGTGGTATCCCTAATCCTTGCTCCCAGCCAACAGCACACTTCATGAGCCAATAGATTTAATGAGTCCACATTTGTTCCAGTTCCTTGTAGTAGTGACTAAAAGAACTAACACAACTAACATAATTCTTCTCTAAGCCATTTGCATCCCCTTGCCTTTCAGGAATCCACTATTCTGTCTTGTTTCACAGTGTATTTTTTTCTTCTCCTAAAGGTTCAGAGCTTATTTCTTTTGAGAGGGCCTGAAAGTTGTTTTCAGTTCCAGTCACCTTCTGTCACTATTGTACATTAGTCTTTATTCTTGGATTGCATTATTATGGAGTATTGCTTCTTTTATCAGTTTCTTCTTGTTTAATCTGAGAAGTCACCATCTTCTTTCATTAGCTGAAGTGTGGTCACTCACTGTTTTGATCCTCTAACTTTTTCTTCAAGAATTGCTATACATCTGCACTTAGTTCAAATGTATGACAGTTTTATCTCAGGCAGGAACATAGACCAATTAAAAATATTAGGACATGATTACTGATTCCTTCTGTTGCTTAAAATATTACTAATAAAATACTTCTATTTTTCTTGTTTCTACTCAGGCACTTATGTTACCTTTACTTGTAAAGGCAATTTGTAAAGAGTCCCACTTAAATTCCCTCATCAAACTCCACTGGCAAATTTGTTTGCTTCCCCTGTTCACTGACTTGGTGAGCTTGCTCCTGGAACTGTCTGCCATATATTCTTCATACAGTCTCTGCTTACTCAGCACAAGTTGTTTAGTAATATCATACTATGAGCAATCAACAGCTTTTAGGACACACTCCTTTTATTATCAGCTGTTTGGAGGATGACCTGTTCACCTCTCACTGTTGAAAACACAATCCTTCAAAACACACATTCTTATTCTTTTCTTCTTTCTTCCAGCAAACTCTCCTTTTTGCTCAACCACAGATTTTTGCTAAGTCAGCTATCTGCACTTGGAATAGGAACCTTTGTTCTCCATTGGGGTGCTAATGTTTTCTCCTTTGGGTGGGAGATGAGGGGGGAGTGGTATTGATTCCCAGTATCTTGCCAGTTTAGTAGGGATAGATGGCATTTTCAGTCCTCTTACTACCCTGGTGACAGCAGCATTAGTGAGAAGGGTGGTATGTGTGTATTGGTAATTAGGGGTTCTTGGGTGTCTGTCGGGGCAGAAACATCCTGAAGACCTGACTAAGCCATTTGATTGGGTGGATGCTCTTCAAAACGATTCAGAAGCTGCAGCTGGTCCAGAATGCAGTAGCATGTGCAGCTAAGGGGGGAATCACAGTACACCCTTGTAACATCACTCTTCCAGAAGATGCACTGGTTCCCAGTAGGCTTCTGGTTGCAATTCAAGGTGTTGGTTAACACCTATAAAGTCCTTTATGACACAGGTGCAACCTCCTTGTGGGTCTACCTGTCTCCTGTTGAATCTGCCCATCCCACAAGATCCAAGAGGGTAGGCATACTCTGGGTCCCCTCTATAAAAAATATCATCAGGCAGGATCCAGGATAGTGCTGACCCTGCTGGCTTTTTATAAGGGCTTGAAGACCCGCCTTTTTCTCCAGGCACTGGGCTAGTGTGGTTGATGATCCTTTCTGTAATGGTCAAAATGGCCTCAGTTATGTCATGCTGTCTTTACCTTTATTTGATGGATTTTGTATTGGTTTTAATGTTAACTGCCCAGAGTTGTAATTGTGAGTTGGGTGTATAAATATATTAAATACTTTTTTTAAAAAATTAAAAATATTTTTTTCATTTCTCACCACTGAGCACATAATTCTTCAAATTGAGTGTTCTCTCTCCTCTCCTTTTCTTATTTCTCCTATTGAACTCTACTGGCAATCTCCCATTTCCTCTCCTTTTTTGCTCAGCCATAGTTTTTGCTGAGCCATCTATGTGCACTTGGAGCAGGAAGCATTGTTTTCCATTACTTCTGCTCAAACCTCTAGTGTCAGCTCCAGAGGATAGCCTTAGGGGGTTTCTGCTTAACTCCATGATTACTAAGCTACGGGGTCCTGAAATAGTCCATTTTGTTATCCTTATTGTTTAACAATTAAATAAAGCTGCTGAGTAAGATCATTAGGGGATCAGGAGTTGGGTGCCACCACTATGCTAATGACACACATCTCTAATTCTCCCTGTCATCAAACTCAGGTTTAGTAGTGGAAATGCCTCACCAGTGTCTGGATGTTGTAGTTTG